CCAGGGTCACTGGAGCACAACAGAATGAGGGGAGAAGCATATGTGAGAAGGAGATAAGGCTGGATATGAGATCACGTGGGGCCAGATCACATGGGGCCATGGAATCTATGCTAAGCCTTTGGGGTCTCTATCCTAAGAACAAGAAGACCCTGAACGAATTTAAAGCAGGGATGGGTTGCATAGATTTCAGTCTCAGAAAGATCATTTTAACCACCAGGTGGAGAATGGGTCAGAGAGTGTCCACAGAAAATGTGAGGAGCGCAGTTAAGAGATCTTCACACTTTTCTAGGATAGATACTGACAGTGTGATTAGAGTGGTGGTGATAGTGGTGTAGTAAAGCAGTCTGTTTTTAGAGATATTTAAGAGGCTACTTAACAAAATTGGGTGATAGGCTGGATGTATTTTCTACGAATATTATTTCATTAATAAGTGCACTGAAAACTCTAGGTAATAAACTTGCCTTTTAAGCAAAGATGGAAAAAACAAAAAATGATTTGTAAATATTTATGCTGTACATATGAATGGAAACCAGTATTTTGGGAAATATATTCATATTCAGAAAAATGATCAGGCCATTTAGAGCTACAGACAGAAAATAAACATATTACAGGATAGGAAGTAACTTGTGACCAGGTAAGATATTAAGATATGTGTGTGTATGTGTGTGTGTGTGTGTGTGTGTGTGTGTCTGTGTATGAGATACATTCCCCACTGATTTTCTTCCAAATTAATTTAAAGAATATGTCTAAATGGATAGAAATTAACATCTTAGGATTCAGAGGAAATCTCCATAAGAATAGGAGTTTAAAATAAACAACGGAAGACAAACAAAATAACAGTGCCGACGGATATATAATATATAGGTGTAATGCTAACCTGAGATTCCCCACCAAAAAGTTGGTGGGGAATCTCAATAGGGACTTCATGCTATGACATCAGGGATAGGTGTGAGGTTGAAGGCTCACTGGAAGAGAAGAAGTGTCTCCTCACTCCTTATCATCACACGGGAGGGTATAACCCCTCTATCTGCAAAGTTAGAGTCTTGCAGGAACAGATTTACACAAAATACCCTTCAGATACAATAAAATACTATTTTTGTTCATGTAAGTGCTATATTACTAACAACCAGAATCCCAGGCTTTATTTTGCAGGGCAGAGTTCCTATTCCATACTATTTAGGTTAAAACAGTAACAACATGGCTCTCAAGAAAATGGTGGAGCCTCTTTCCCAGGCCTCTCCTTTAATGCATTTGATGGCTATACAGTGTAAGAAAAAATACATCCAGTACAAAAAATAAAAACCATGAAAATGTTTCTTTGTAAAATGTATTTTTCTTTACAATTTAGGAGAGCAAATTAGCTCATCATGAAAAAACAAGACATATACCTGAACACTTTCTAACCAGTCTGAGTTATTTAAATTGTATTTGCAAGTTATATATGAGTATATACAGACTACTACTATCATATGCTTTTATGGCAATGACCATTTTCTCACAGGGGCTTAGGAACTGAGTCACAGTACTAAGGTTTGGGCTCTGGCTTCCGCTGCCTTCTTCCTGCTTCCTTTGATTTACCTTTTCTCAAAGGTTCCCAACCACTTCCTGAAGGTATATAAAAAACAAGTGATTTCATTAATATATATAAAATTGCCACAACAAAATATAAAAAGTTAGTAACACAAAACCAATAATCGTGTCCTCCTTAGTTTAACAGGCCTAATACAAAACAGTAAAAAAAATTTCACTCTAAAATGCAATCCCTAAATGTCCTCTTCCTCATTCTTATGCTCCTCAACTCTGTCTCACAGTGTTTCCACAAGTCTTCAGATTGGCAGGCACTTGTGCTTTTTTGCATTTCTGAGTGGGAAGGGTTATCACTTCTATTCACAGTTGAGAGTGGGAAGGACTTGAAATGTTGTAGAAAATGTTGAAATTTTAAATGTGTAGAAGCCAATCAATTAGAGTTATGGTTCTCAAAGGAGTAACTCTTGGTATACACTATGTATGTTACATTTACATACTATTGGCATACTATTGGCAAAAACATAAGTTTATTATGCCAAAAAGACAGATAAGTTTTACGTAAACAAGCCATAACTTTAAATTTCTTCATACTGTGCATATAAAATTTCAGTATTGAAATTTTATTTCAAAGTTTAGAAATAACTGGTAGAATGCTTCCTTGTATGTATATGTGTTACAGTTATGTCACTATAGTTGGTGCATATGGCCTCATATCTGTTTAATATGGCCTCCTATCTGTTTAAAACACCACAAAATAAATAATAACAATATGATCTTCCTTGTTTCCCTCTGGATTCACCAGTTGTAGGGTGTACACATGTTTTTCCCCAGGGTGTTGATGGATGTGTGCTGATTCAGTCATACCTCCTCACAAGTCTGTGTATACTTCTTCAGCACCTGAGACACGCAACTGAGTTCAACAATGAAGGTTAGAGTTTGGCAATGCTGGCCGGCATGTGCAAACATAGACTTTATTAGCATTTTGCTCTAAACCCAACTCACCATTCATTTTCATTTCATAAATGGTTTAGAACCTTAGAAAAAGAGCTACAACTATCATGCAGGACACAATTATATTCTAATGTTTTTAGAGCATAGATGTTCTGAAAGATCCATGGAGTGGCAGAGTAAGGCAAGAATGTCACCAATTTCAATGAAACTGGTGATCTTCTGCTTTCAGTCTTTCAGTTCTAAGTAATCCCTCCCCTCTTAATAAGGCAGAATCCAAATGTTTACACTACTTTATGGAATCATTCTTTAGTAAGCTAAGCAAAGTATAAAGAGATGGAAAACCAATAATTTTCAAGATACTATCATCTATTATTGATTAAAACACACAAAAACAAGAAATTAATCTTAAAACAAAATATATCCATTGTCCTAGCAGGTATCCCTACTATAACTAATTATACTTTCTAAGATTAAATCCAGATGAATCAATCATGTAAGAAAATAATCTTTCATTATTGCAAAAGTCAAGCCCTTCATCTGATTTAAATAACTTATATTTGAACTTTCTGGTTAAAAATACCTGATTATTTTTAAAAGGTTAATTTTCAGTATACTAAAATGAAATAGATTTCTGGAGATACTGTTCTTCACATGAATTCATGAGTTAGTGACATGGGCTGAAGTCAAACCTAAAAGTATAAGAGATTTATTTTATCTTTCAAGTCAATAAAAGTAGTATGGGTTGTGGAGTCAGAATGATCTGGTTTTAAATCTTTGCTGAGTGTCCTGTTAGCTGTGAAGTCCTAGGGAAATCACTTAGCTTTAGCCACCTCTTTCTTGCCCTCCTAAAATGAGGTTAATAGCACTTACCTTACAGAGTTGACAAGTGTCTGGGACATGGCGGGGCCTTAATAAATGGTAATTATTATTGCGACTATAGAAAGGAAATAGGAAGACACTAATTATTTACATATTTTATATTCACAAAGCTTTGTATTAATTACATAATGCTTGTGAATAATGATAACAAGATAATCTCTTGGCAAAATTTCTGATACATGTCATGCAAACATTTAATACTCACAAAACCCCTGCAAGGTACCATTTATTATCCTCATTTTAGAAGGAAACCGAGGCACAGAGAGGTTAAGTAATTTGTTCAAGGTCATACAGTAGAGTTGGGATTCAAACCCTGCCAATACGACTGCAGAGTTTTTATGCTTTTAGCCACTTTGTTAAAAGCCTAGAAATAATATTAATGTAAGATAATAAATATAAAAGGTGCTACATTCTGTGCTAGGCACTAGAACCCAAAACTTTCAAGGCTCAGAACCTATAACCTTAAGTAACTTACAATATGGCGACTAGCAGCAGTTATACTACTTCAAAGTTATGACTCACAAGCCATGCTGTTTCTCTTGATTAAAGAACAAAGGTCCCCTTCACATTACTGCTATTAATAACCATAAGAATTATGGCACAGTCATAATTTACTTACAGAACTAATCAGGATTTCTACATCTTCTGAATAAATATGAGTAAAATTGTAACTGCAATTTGTTCACTATTATGTTAAGTTCTTTTGAGAATAGATACAAAAATTATTTTGATGTAACTGCTGTAGTGTGTCTAACATACTATTATCCAGTTGGGTTATAAAACGAATTTCTGGCCATTAAGAATAACAAAAGTTTGCTCAAAAGGTTTATTATTGTTAAAGGTAACACAACCAAGAAGTAAAGGAAACTAGCTAGAGAATGAAGTCCTGTTATTTAGAAACATAGACTAAAAACAAACAATTCTATGACCAGGTATAGATTTCTTGCCTCTATTTTTTTGGGAGGGGTCTTTTCCTTCCTCATCCCCTTCTTATAATCTCAGTCAATGTTTTCCATTCTCTTAAATGCCCAATAATAAATAGACATCTGACTATATAAAAATATTTCCAGAGCTTTGAAAACAGGGTTACTCTCATTTACTCTAAAAGGATAGAATGTGCTATCAAACCCAAAAAGCAATTGTGAACAATGTATGATTTATATAACATATAAGAAGCAAAATGATTATGTTTAAATAACATATTACCCTTAGTCCATTTTTAACCATTTTTGTTTCAAAGGATGGTACTGCCACATACTACTAAATAATTATGTAAATTAAAATGGAACCAATAATCTAACAGCAGTAGGTTCTGCCTTTTACCTTTTGTTAAGGGGAGACAGATTGTTCAGAAGCCAAGTGGGTTAGTAAAAGGGATGAAATAATTTTCAGTTTGGCTTGGGTGAAGGTTATTCTGAAGAGCAATGACTTATCATCCTTTTGTAATGAACAATGGAAGCCAAAGCACAGATAGCAACATGGAAAACAAATGGGAAAGGTGTAAATGTTCTTTAAAAAGGCACCAGGCATGCAATTAATATAAAATGTTGATTTTGCAAGTATCATCAGTCTAGATATGAATGTCATTTCCCTGGCTCCCTGTACTACAAGGGACTGTGCTCAATAGACCACACAGTGCTCACCTGATTCTTCTGTCTTCTGGCAACCCTTGGCATATGGCTGAAACTTGGAGGTGTTCTCCCAAGATATGGTTACTTCCCATCTCTCCTTTTCATTGATTGTCTGCAATTCCCTCAGTTAAAAACGTGCATCCTTTATGTATCTGAAGTTTATTTTAGCTTTTCAAGTGCTGTAATGATGGGGATCTGGAAAGTTTTTTTTTAAAAGGAAGTCTGAAGGTCCCTTGCAGTAAGGTTTCAGGTACATGGATTGAATCTCTCATTTTCTTGTGTACAGGGCATGTTTGCATTTGCTTTTTAATTTTATTTGTTGGCTTGAAAATTCTTGGAGAAAGAAAACTGCAGAGAAGCAACTTTTAAAATTATTGCCCAATAACTGGCATTTAATCCAGATCATGCCTTATTGTGGTTAATATCTAACATTCCAAACACCATATTCTCCTTCTTGATTTAGTCATTATGGATGACATCAATGATTTTCACAGTTTAAAAAAAATATGTTTTGTGATTCATTTCACCTCGAGTCTCAAACTTAACTTTGTGTGGCTTATTCAAATAGTGGTTTTCTTTATGAAATCATGTAAGTAGGAACCATCTGGAAAGGTTACTGTGGAAACAGCAGGGGCTATGGGGTGGGGCTAGAGAGCAAGAGATGCCATGACAACCTTTTTCGGGTTTCCCAGGAAACATGGGTTGCTATGGGAACTGCATCAGTCAGGTCCGAATTAGTAACTTCCACTGGAAGGGGTGTCTGCCACTTTAATCTTCTTGTGATACTGCAGAAGCTTATCTCTCAGATGCATTAGGACATTTTTTGTTTCTCTCAGCAGCACTGAAAACCTCTGTTTCTAGACTTTGATAGATGTTGGCCGGGACATATGCACAGAACTTCACAGGAATCTGTTAGTCTAATACTTTAGAAGTGCTTAGAAAACTCCATTAAAATAATTAGTCAGATGATGACATGCCGGGTATTTCTCTTTATTCAAAATTGTAGAGACCCTTAAAATTCCGGGAGGGAGGATTCAAATAGAAATTCCAGGCCAAAACTGAAAACCTTGTGGGTTTACAAGTCATTTTTCTAGTTAGACTTTTCATCCACGTGTCTACAGGGTAGGCAACTGAACTAGATATTTAATAAATAATGTTGAAAGGTCCATCACACTGAAGCATCATTTAAGAACCGATGTGCTTTACTTAGTAAAGAAAAAAAAAAACTGCCTTTGAAAATTTTGAGGTTAAGCAGTTACTCTAACTGTTCTTTAGTTTCGTTTCCTCCCAGGATGTACTTTTTTTTTTTTAATAGGGTGTGTACTAGAAATCAAGTTTGATGTAAGTTTGTTGTTTACAATGTTAAGAGAAAGAAGGAGGGGTTAAAAGGAGAGCTGAGAGAATGCAGCCCACTTGCAAAACAGGCACCTGTTTCAGTATGAAGCAGTAGGGAGAGGGAGAATGATGAAGTGTGCCTCCCACTTCTTCAAGTCCTTTCCTTGACGGATGGTCTGGAAATGTATAAAACAAGGGCATACACAGACCAAGGGGGCACGTTCCACAAAATACCGAGCACAGCATGTCACTTGCATCACCTATTAAACATCGGTGAATACCTTTTTGACGTTGACACAGGAGTTGGGATTATTGTTCGTGGTGCAGGTGGCCGTGGAATTGCCCGTTTTGAAAGGGGTCTGGGGGAAGGCGCTATGGTTCATACCCCCCTCTTCGATCACCATATACTCCGACTTACTCAGAGTCGAGTTACTCCTGGCTTTCCGGAGCTCCTCGGCGGAAGGGGAGAGGTGCTGGCAACTTCCCACGTGCATGTACTGGGCTTGCTCTTCCCCCTCTGTCTCCCGGTGGTAGAAGTAATTGAAGTTGGAGACGATCACGGGAACCGGCAACGCAATGGTCAAGACGCCGGCGATGGCACAGAGCGAGCCCACGATCTTGCCCCCTATGGTCACTGGGTGCATGTCGCCGTAGCCTACCGTTGTCATGGTGACCACCGCCCACCAGAAGGCGTCCGGGATGCTGCTGAAACCCGAAGTGGGGTCGTCTGCCTCGGCAAAGTAGACCGCGCTGGAGAAGAGGATGACCCCGATAAACAGGAAGAAGATGAGCAGCCCCAGCTCCCGCATGGACGCCTTCAGCGTCTGCCCCAGGATCTGCAGCCCCTTGGAGTGGCGGGAGAGCTTGAAGATGCGGAAGACCCTCACCAGGCGGATGACCCTCAGGATGGCCAGGGACATGGCCTGCTGCCCGTTGCCCTGTCGCTCAGCCAGCTCGGTGCCCAGAGTGATGAAATACGGGATGATGGCCACGATGTCGATCAGGTTCATGATGTTTCGCGAGAAGGTGGCTTTGCTGGGGCACGCGAAGAACCGCACCAGCAGCTCGAAGGAGAACCAGATGATGCACAGGGTCTCCACCACGAAGAAGGGGTCCGAGAAGCTGGAGGCCCCCGCGGGCGCCCCCGACGTGCCGTTGCCGGCCGCCTCGAGCGCGTCCTGCGACGGCGAGGCGAGGTAGTCGCGGAACTCGGGCAGCGTCTCCAGGCAGAAGATGACAATGGAGATGAGGATGACCAGCACGGACACGACGGCGATGCCCCGCGCCGGCCCGGAGCTCTCGGGGTACTCGAAGAGCAGCCACACCTGGCGCTGGAAGTCGCGGCGGGGCAGGGGCCGCTCCTCCTCCCGCAGGAAGCCCTCGTCCTCGCGGAACTTCTCCATGGCCTCCTCGCCCAGCTGGTAGAAGCGGATCTCCTCGGAGAAGATGTCGATGGGCACGTTGACGGGCCGGCGGATGCGGCCCCCGGACTGGTAGTAGTAGAGGATGGCGTCGAAGCTGGGCCGGTTGCGGTCGAAGAAGTACTCGTTGCGGAGGGGGTCGAAGTACCGCATGCGCCGCTTGGGGTCGCCCAGCAGCGTCTCGGGGAACTGGCCGAGGGTCTTCAGCTGCGTCTCGAAGCGCAGCCCCGAGATGTTGATGACCACGCGCTCCCCGCAGC